GACCAGGAAGGAAGAAAAAATAAAGAGAATGCTATGGACTGAATGTTTGTATCCCTCCCTCCTGCCCAATTCATGTTGAAATCCTAAACCCTAATAGGTGCTATTAGAAGGTGGGGGCTTTGGGAGGTAATTAGGGAGCCCTCATGAATGGGATTAGAGCTGTTATGAAAAGACTTGGAATATACAAGCTGAACTTGCTATTGAAAGTACTTATATTATTTAAGAAACTTTGTGAATCAGTGAAATGTGAAGGGAAAAAAGAAATGGAAAGCAACTGTAGACACCTGAGATAGTGTGGGAGGAGGGTGGGAAATGGCGGAGGGTGAGAAATAGGGGGAAAAAAATATATATATGAAACTAGAAATGGAAAATTATTGACAATAACAGGTATGATTAAGCCACCATGCAGTACATTCTGGATGGGAAATCACATTTTGTATGCTCTGATGATACTCAGGGAATGAATGTGAATTAATTAATTTAAAAAAATATTTCAGAAGAAAATTATAGTGCACTTTTAACTAGATTCCAGCTTTGTCCATATTTTTAATTTAAGGTGTTTTAAGAATCAATAAAATGGGGGAAAGAAAAGTTTGGTATGGAAGGGAGAGAAGGGAAAGGGGAAGGAAAAAACAAGTAAAAGTATGCTTAATTGACAAAAAAATGAGAAGGTATTTGCTGATAAGTTATAGAGTAGTATCTTTGGCTTGACTGACATGCATAGTATTTGTGCTGAAAAAAGAAATGTTGTACACTATAAAGATGTGATTAAATGTAAATAAATACATTAAAAACAAAAAAGACTTGGAGAGGGTCAGCCCGTGGTGTGGTAGTTAAGGTGACTAGATCCCACATGGTTGACTGAGTGGTTTTTTGTTTGTGTTTTTGTTTTTAAACAATTATTTATTTATTTATTTCCAGTTATTATCATTATTATTATTGTTTAATTTAACCAGAGAGAAAGAGAAAGGGAAAGCGAGAAAGCAAGCTGCCAGGTCCGGGCCTTGAACTGTGGTCAGCCATGTGGGAATCCAGTGCCCTTAAACACCATATCACCTGTCAGCCCCTGACTGAGCAGTTTGAGTCCAAGACCTGGCGGCTTGAAAAATACACAGGGTGTGTGTGTATGTGACCAAAATCCCAACAGGAGAAAGGGGCCACCCAGGCGGTTGGTTTCTTTCTTTTTCTCTTTCTCTCTCTCTCTCTAACACACACGCTATAACAAACAAATAAAGACAGGAGAGAGCTTTCTTTCTCTCTGTTCTCCACCATGAGGATAAAACCAGAGGTCTTTCGCAAAGAAGGGGGCCCTCACCAGACACTGTATCTATTGGTCCCTTTTTCTTAAGACTCCCAGCCTCCAGAACTGTAAGGAATCAATTTCTGCTTATAAGTCACCCAGTCTATGGTACTTTTTAATAGAAGCCCATAATTACTATATTATATATAGAAAAAAAGTATAAAACCCACAGCATGTGGTAACATGCATAAAGTCAAAGAAGCTCAAAGACAAAGATATAGGAAAATCTGATTTCATTTCCATCAGTCTCACCTGGTATTACTTTAGGAAAAAGTTGCTAATAATGATTTATTAT